AAGCACATCTTCACTAAATTTCATGGCATTTGTATCTATACATTGGGAGATATGTATTTTTCATTGAATGGTACAAAATCTGCCAGAAAAGTGATAATTATTGGATTGATCAAAAGTTACTTTGATTGAAAGGTCCTCAAGTTGGAATCATGTTTATAAGTATTTGAGGTACCTAAGTTTGGTTTTGAGATGATCTAGAAGCATGACAAGTAAAGAGTACAAGGCCATTTGATTGTGTAGTGTACTTGGCACACAATGGGTACTCAATTGAAGATCAAGACCAAGCTCAAGATGAAGTTGAGGTTTAAGTTCTTGTGACAATTGGAAATCATTTGGTAGAAAGAAAATGACTTAAACAAGTAGAAAGAAGAGGACTTAAATAAGGAATCAAGATTATTCATCAAGATAAGTCCATCACTTGGATCAATCAACAAATTCATTTCAAGTGAATATCAAGAATGGTTCTTGGAGAGAGATCACTTCTCCCTAGTGTAGGGGCTTGCCGCCTATGTGTAGGTAAACCAAATGTGGTGCTTGGAAGGCTAACATGTAAGTGGTGATCTAAGGGACATTTGAGATGCTTAGTTGAAGCAATCAAAAGGGTTGATCAAGAAAAGTAAGTAACACCCAAAAGAGAGCTAGTCTTGAAAATTCAAGTGGTACTCCAAATAGTTCTCTCATGCAAGCAATGATCAAAGAATGAAGCAAGTCAACCACATCATGATAGTGCATTTGATCATATTAGTGGTTCTCAATTCATATAGGTAAAGAATGGACTCTATCTATGATGATTGGTCTTCACCAAGCTTATAATTGGACTTCACATTGCTATTGGAGTAATGAATTAGAATCTATGTGACTATCCTCTACTCCAAGATAGAAAAGGTATCATTGTAATGTGCATGATCATTTCATCCCTTACTAGTATGCGGTTAGTGCATATAGTACATGATTATTAGGATCATGCATAACAAATGAAATTTTTTGAAATTCATAGCCTACCACTATTGCTTGAATGATTAATTGATCTAGTGGTTAGTATATGAATTTGTTCATGAGCTAGTGAACCTAAGTACTTAATTTAATTTTGATTGCTAACAAGTGACAAGTACAACATTGGCAAGATAACACTTGTAAGAGGTGTGAAGAAGTTGGTTCAAACCAGACTTGGAAGCTTAGGCAAATTAATTTAGTTCAAGTCAACTTAGAAGCTCATGATAAGTAACAAGAGTACAAGCACAAGACAATAATGCAAATGGATATCTAGTTTGGATTGTTTTAAGTGGCATCTAGACTCAAGTATTTCATCAAGAATTCACAAGTGGTGTCTAGATCAACTTACAAGTGATATCCTACAAGTGGTACTCATGAAGATAGCAATTGTTCAAGAAATGATTTTTATTGATAAATCAATCATACACGTGGCATCACATCTCTACACATGGTATCATTCATACAAGATAGTAGTTCCACAAGTGATCCTCAACTTTAAGTGATCATCAAGTGAAGAATGCATCCCTTATACAAGAGCTCAAACTTATCAAGTGGATGACCCATACTATGACATATAGGGGAGGTGCCCCACCAATTGGTATCAAGATCAAAGATCCTATATGTGGTATCTCAAGAGCTATACAAGTGGTGTCATTCTAATATTTGGAAGTGTCCATAAAAATGCAAGATTCAAGCCTCAACCATCTACCCCAATGCGAGCCCTTGCATCAATGAGAAGCACACCTTTTATGGAAATTGATGACAAAGGGGGAGAGATTGTACAAAGATATAAAAACTTTGGGAGAGATTGAGACAAAGAAGTAGAGGTTGGACATGGACATGGACTAAGAGGGAGCAACATTGAGAAATTGAGAAGGATCAAAATTCTTGGACAAGAGAAGCACACAAGTAGGGGGAGCAAGCTCATAAACTTGTTTGGCTGCATTTGATAAGTGCATATTCATGTGCTTGCTTGCATTTGCATAAGTCTTTAAACTTGAAATGCATGCTTGTGTGGTGTATGCTAGTGATAGAAGTTGAATGATGATTTGATAACTAGCATACATAGGATGGTAGGTAGACTTATATTTCTACATGGGGTACTAGAACCTTGCTTATAATGTTGATCTCATGGGGCTTCTAGTATTTTTGTTGTCTAGCTACTCATGATGCTAAGGATGGTGTTAAAAGTGCAACTCCGATTGGTATCACGCTTTAAAGGTTATTCTATACACCTTAGCATCACTTAGTAGTGGTAACACTCCCACAAATTTCATATTTATGCATGTGTACAAACTTGAAACCAAACAATTTGAGCACCCATGTAGGGGGAGTTATCACTCGGGGTTTATGATGCTTATCCAAATCTTAATGTAGAGCTTAAATGTTGGATAAGTAGCATAAATTCCAAATCAAGTTAGCAATTTACACTTGTGTGAAGTGCTAGCTTGAAATGACCTAAATTTCCATATCTTTCTAGAGTTGTCATCAATTACCAAAAAGGGGGAGCTTGAAAGATCCTTGTTTGGTTTTGGTAATTGAGTGACAATCTTAGGTGGACTAATATGTGTTTGAGTGAAATACACAGGTGATTAGTCCACAAGTATATGTGTGTGAGCAACATATGCCATAGAGGTGAAATGGCTTGGACTTGTTGCAAAGCTTACACATGTGATGATGAAGGAGCTCATTGCACATGAGACATGACATTGAGTCGATAAAGGTGGAGAAGATCAAGACATGACTTGGCTTGATGGACCGGTTGCAAGTGTGAAGGGCAAGTTAAGTGATGACTTGGCGCCGATGGACCAAAGCAATGGTGAAGAGCAAGTAAAGTCAAGATCGATGAACAAATATGATCACGTGATGATATGGAGTGGATCATATCATTGTTGATCATGTTGGTGCATGTGTTGCATCGACATTGGAGGAGATGGAATGGAATGCGCAAAGCAAAGGTATAACCTAGGACATTTTATTTCACCGGTCATAGGTGTGTAGAGAAGTTTATGACCGGGTTTAGGATAGATGGACATACTATTAAGAGGGGCAAACTTGTTTGCATATCGGTCATCTAGTGCCACTCGAGTGATCTAACTTTACATACGTGTTAGAATCGAGTGGCATGGTAAAAAGAGTGCTAATCCTTTGTAAAAATGTTTGTGAAAAGCTAACACACATGCACAAGTTGGTGAACACTTGGTGGTTGTAGCACATTTGCAAGGGTAAAGAAGTTGGTGAAAAAAATGGAGGCAAAACCGGACTCGGTGTGCTGCCTGGGTGGCACCGCCACCCCTGGTCCGGTGGCACCTCCACTCCTAGGGTGGTGCCTACCTGGAGGCTGAGAGGGAGGAGTTACCTGGTGCCCTGGGGGGCACTGCCACTGCATGTCCAGTGGCACCGCCGCCCCTAGGGCGGTGCCCATCAGACCAAGGCCGAGAGTAGCAGTGGGTGACTCGGTCACCGTCGTGTCCGGCGTGCACCGCCGTGTGGAGGGCGGTGGCACCGCCAGGAGCTCCCCGGTGCACCGCCCCTTTTTGGCAGATATCAGGAGAAGGCGAGGGGGTCACCGCCGTGGGCACTGCCGTGCCTAGGGCGGTGCACCGCCCTATTTTTCCCGAGAGCAAGGTTTTCATCGGGTTGTCCTAGGTGGTCACCGCCACCCCTAGGGCGGTGCCACCACCACCCCTGTCCGGTGACCAACGGCTAGTTTCTAGTTGTTGAAATTTGACCGTTGGAAGGGGCATCGCCGTGTTCGGTGACAGGCACCACCGTGTCCAGTGCCCTCACAGAAACCAGCAGCTTTGCTCCAACAGCTCTATTTGGCTTGGGGCTATAAATAGAGGTGGAGCTCAGGCTTAGGCTGGTTGTTGAGCACCCTTAAGCCTTGGTGGCTTGTGTAGGTGTGCTTGGGAGCCCTCTAAGTCACTTGAGCTTATAGTGATCATCCGATCGAGTGAGTGAGCGATTCTTGTGCGATTGCATCGTAAGGTTGCATCGAGTGGCACTAGGTGATCGTGTTGCAAGCCGATGGTGCTTGTTACTCTTGGAGGTTGCCACCTCCTAGATGGCTTGGTGGCTTGTGATTCCATTGAAGCACGTGAGAAGATTGTGCGATGCTTCGAAGGAGGATTTGTGAGGGGGGTTGTGCTCACCCCACGGGGATCATGAAGAACAACTCTAGTTGAGCGTGTCATTGAGCTACCCTCACTTTCAGGGTAGGTTCTTGCGGTGCCCGACCTACGATCTTGGCGGGTGATGCCAATTAGCCGCCGAACCTCCAAGTGAGCAGTTGACACAATGGGGACGTAGCTTGGTGGCAACCAAGTGAACCCCAAGAGAAAATTACCATGTCAACATTGTCTTCATCGTCTTCTCGATGGTTTGCATTCCGCACAACACAAGCTTGTATTACTTTCATTTACATTGTGCTTGTGTAGTTGCTCTTGTGACTAGATTAGCTTTAGTAGCTTGCTAGTTACATTCTTGCTTGTGTAGCATAGAAGTAGCTCCCTCGCATGGCTAATTTGGTCTTAGTAACCTTGTGAGTCACATTGCTTAGTTTGTGTAGCTAAGTAATTTGCGCTATCTAATTTGGCATTAGTTGCCTTGCTATTGAGCATTGCCAGTGAGCTTAGGAGCTTTGTGCTTTTGCTTACTAGATTGTGTAGGAGCTCCATCGGTTGTGTGTAGTACTAGTTGCATAGGTTTGTGTGACCTTGCAAGCTAGATTGGTTAGGTGAGCTCTAGCTAGTCCATCACCTTAGTTGCTTCTTTAGGATCTTTACAAGGTGCCTGATAACTTAGATAGAGGGGTGTAGTCTTGGCTAGACCGATAGTTTTAATTCCGCACTTATATCGGTTAGCCGGCGCGATTAAGTTTTAGAAAGGACTATTCACCCCCCTTTGGCGCGCCATCTCGACCCTACACTAGTCTGACCCTCTTCATCAGATTTTGGTAGCTCCAATTCTTCATCAGAATCCAACTCATCCCATTCTCTGCCTGCTTAGTCCTTGTATGTGCCAGTTGGGGCATTTCTTTTGCTCCCAGCTCTGACTATTATGCCCTTTGCTGCACCCTCATCAACCACTCCTTCATCAACATTATCACAAAATAGGTCATCATGATCATCATCAACTTCATAGTCACTGTCAACAAAATCCACTTCTGAACTTCCTTCGCTATCATCACCATCATCAGCATTTGTACTAGGAGGGATAGGCACCTTTGTAGGACTAATGACTTTGGGTAAGGTTGCAATTGGATTGAACACAATGTCCTCCTTGCTATCAATTGTATTGTAATGATCCATGTAAACCACATAGTTCTTGACCTTAAATGCCTGAAATATCAATTATATCTGTGCTTCTTTATCTGATTCAATCAAACGCAAACCGGTTCCATCGAGCACATATATGAACTAAATACACTAACAGATAGAGCACAATTTTAGTTTAGCATTTTTATTGATCATTTTGAGTTACGGAAATTGATCTACACACTTTATCATATGCATTATCACAAAAACATGATGCTCATGACATAGTTTAGCAAGTTGTTTAAGCAGTAACACTGAGGGTGTTACAGACAAGTCCATATCAGGCAACAACCAATACACCGGGACACCCAGATCATAACCTAGCACCACTAATATCTCATCTACTGCATAAAAAGACCAGTACTCCACTGTGATATGATCAAACCAATCAACCTTGCCATCCAGGTACACCTGGTCCACACCAGACCCATAGAAAAATCCCCCATGATGCACTTCCACTGAACACTCTTCATCGTCAGGCCCTAAAGAACAAAAATCAACCCTAATTAAACACAAAACCAGAGCATATCCACCAAAACAGTTTGTTGCTTACCAGATCAACTACTACGGCCCCAAAACGACTGCAATAGGTACCATTCACTATAGCGATAGAGCTCCGAGACACTTACCATAGATTGGTGCCGCTTCCCCTTTAGGTCGTCATCGGCCTAACATGGTGCCGCCGCGCCGCAATCTGTGCGGCCGGGCGGCACCCAACGCGGATCTTGCTAGCACCGACGAACTCTTGCCTTCGCGTTCATTGCTCCCTGCCTGTGACTTCGCCGCCATCCCGCCCCGGCCTCGTCTTCTATCCCGGTTAAGGAAGATTGGGGGAGAGAGCGGGTGGAGTTGGGAGTGACGGAGACAACGTTCGCTGGGGTTTTGATAAAATGCAATGCCCTGAGCTTCCATCATCCACGATGGCACGGCCACGTCGGATTATGGGGTTAGCGTGGCTGACTTTGGACCGTCCATGTGCCACGGCAAAAGATGAGGGACTTGGATAGTTGCTTTGAAAGTTTGAGGACGCGGATGGGAAGGGACCCAAAGTTTGAGGACCCCGGGTGCATTTTACTACCGCTACCTCCTCTCTTGTAATACTTCTATTGGCTCCACTTTGCTGGAGTCTTGAGTGAAATGAAATTTGGTGGGGAGTCTCTTCCCCGTTGGTTTAAAAAATATATACTGTTGATTTGAGAGTATAATTTTGTGTCATATTAATTTATGGGCATAATCTGAGAGTACGTTTTATTTGTTCATCGTTACTTTTTTTACACGAGTTCATCTGAACTTGACAGAAAGTGGAACGAGATTAGCGCTCGTGCACCGTGCAATGAGAAACAAGTAGACTTGGTGAGAAATGATTATGTCTCGATTTTTTCCCGATAATTAGTCACGCTACTAGTATTTTTGAAAAAAAAAAAAACTGTTCAGCTTCATCCGTGAGGCCGTGACCTATCTCCGGCCCCACATCGTCAGGTCTTTATTACTAATCTGCTACCATTTCATTTCTTCACCCGCCGCTAAATAATCCACAAAAAATAACCCTAGCAGCCGCGAACCAATGGCGGCGCAGCCGTGCCGACGAGCCTTCTCGTCCAACCTGGTCGGCCCACCAGTGGAATTCCTTCGCGCCGCGGCGGCGGTCACGGCGGGACCGCCGGTGTCCGCTCCCAAGAAGCTGCCGCCGATGAAGAGGCTCACGGAGAACGCGTCGCCTACGTTCGTGTCCTCCGGAGACCCCTGCCTCGACTTCTTCTTGCATGTCGTCCCCGGCACCCCGGCCACGAGGGTCGCCTCCCTCTTAGCCGACGCGTGGGCCGCCGATCCAAACACCGCGCTCCGTCTCGCGTGCAACCTCGTCGGCGTGCGCGGCACGAGCAAGTCCGACCGCAAGGGGTTCTCCGCCCTGTCACGCTCGCCCTCAACGCTCCATCCATCGTGGAGCTCGGATACCTCAAGGTCCTCCCCGAGATCCTCTACCGTATTGTTAAAGGCGTCGACACGACGAGAAGGCCGGGGAAGAAGGCCGAGGTCCGCGTCACCGGCGCCGCGATGGGGTTCCGCCGCTTAGGCAAGGAGGAATGCGCCGCCGCCTTCAAGGAGCTCGAACGGAAAATCGAACGGAGGTGGTGTGCGGAGGCCGCGGCCGGCAAGAGCCGTCGACATGTACCGCCGTGACCCAAACTACCGACTCCTGCACGACTGCACGGCGGATATGTTCGCCCCTCATAGCCAGCGACATGCAGAAGCTCGGGGACGGCAAGCTGAACGAGATCTCCCTCGCAGGCAAATGGCGCCCGTCGCTGAACTGCCGTCACGACCCATCCACGCTCCTCAGCGAGGCCATTGCGCGCCGCCTCTTCCCAAAGGGGTCGGAGCCCGATCTCCCTGAGGAGATGCCCGACGAGCACTACGTCTACCAAGTCCGCAACCGCCTCCGCAAGGCGCTCGTGCCACTGCGCCGCGCGCTCCAGCTCCCGGAGGTCTTCATCACTGCTCAGGCGTGGGGGGACGTGGTGTACTCCCGCGTGGCCTCCAGGGCCATGAGAAGATACAGGAAACTCTTCTTGAAGCACGACGCCGAGCGTTTCGAGCTCTACCTCGCCGACGTCGAGGCCGGCAAGGCGAAGATCGCGGCAGGCGCCCTGCGCCCCCACGAGATCCTGGCGTCCATGGACGGCGACGGCGTCGCCGAGCTGCAGTGGGAGTGCGTGGTCAGCGACCTGGCAAGACCCTCTGGGAGAAGACAAGCTTCATCCGTCGGATGCACTGGATGATGAACACCGACTTCCAGGCTGTGTTCGACAAACTCCTCAGCGTCGCGGTCGGCGGAAACCTGCCTCCTGAGCGGATGGTAAGGAAGGTGTTCGTGTTCAGCGACATGGAGTTCGACCAAGCATCGTCAAGGCCGTGGGAGACAGACTACGAGGCGATCACGAGGAAGTTCACAGAGGCCGGGTATGGCGCGGTGGTGCCACAAATAGTGTTCGGGAACCTGCGAGACTCCATGTCCGTGCCGGTGACAGCGGGGCAGAAAGGGGTAGCTATGGGGAGCGGCTTCTCAAAGAACTTGGTGAAGCTGTTCCTTGACAACGACGGTATCCTAACGCCGAGGGCCATCATGGAGAAGGCCATCTCCGGGCAGGAGTACCAGAATCTCATCGTCTATGACTGATGCTTCATGCATATGCTATCCTTTTTAAGAACTTCACCGAAAGAATTCGCTGTTTTCAAATTGTGCGTTGCTCTAATCTTGTGTGCAGTAATAATAAAGGCGCAGAACGAAAATCAAGACGGTTTCAAATTGTATTAAAACTACTTGCTCTACCATGGCATTTTGAAATTTCGTCCACAAACTTTTCTATGTTCTGTATGAATTTGCATTATAGGGTCTTCATTTTTTTTAATCTTGTTTGTGTCTTCGTTTTTGCTTGTTGATTTTTGTTGTATACCACGATATGACTAGTGTAGAGCCTTCAAACTGCACCGAATCTTTCTTAGGCCCAAAAATGTGTATCCTCTGCCCTCATATGAAAATCTTTCGTAGGTGCAAATCTTTCATACACGATCTGCGTGAGAGGATTTAACATTTAACTGTATCCTGGGCCCTGTTTCATGAAAAAAAATGCTAAGCCCAACTCTGTTGTGACGGACCTGAAACAGCTGCGCGCGCGCACACATGACCTGCGCACGTCTCAGATAGAGATAGGTGCTTTCCATCTGGAATGCCACGAACAAATATATCGAGTACAAAGAATGAATGAATCGGTAGCACTCCCTTCACCTACATATAGTCATATACATTGCCCCGCGTTCGAGTCACAAGTCACAAGAGCGCCGACGCCCCGCCGCCGCCGGCGGTGGCCATTGCCTCTCGCCAGTCGATGAGGATGGCGGTGGCGGCGTAGTGCGTGAGCGCGGCGACGAGCACGAGCACATGGAAGATCTGGTGGCTGTGTCCGACGCAGTCGAACTTTCCCGGTCTCCACCGCTCCGGCACGCGGGTGACGTAGAACCCGGCGCCGGCGGCGTACACGAGCCCCATGGCGAGCTCCAGCGCGAGCGCGAGGTGGCACTCGCGGTGTGCCCAGTTGAGCCACAGCGCGTGCAGCGCGGGAAGCACCCCGGAGAACGCCATGGACACGAAGAGGCCCGCGCGGAGGTGGCGCAGGCGCGGCGACGACCGCGCGGGCGCCAGGAGCAGCGCCACCACGAGCAGGCCCAGCAGCGTGATGGCGGACAGGTAGACGAGCTGTGTGCGCGCCAGGCCCAGGAAGGCGTAGTAGACCGGCGGGAAGAAGGAGGCGACGATCATGACGGCGATCCCGGCGTAGTCGAGCTGCCAGAAGAGGCGGCTGAAGCGCCGCGAGTGGCACGCCAGCAGGTGCGCCGCCGCGCTGACGGCTAGGCACGTCATCGCGCCCGCCAGGAACACCGTCCGCGGCCACCTCGGCACCGCGTGGCCGTGGCCATCGCTGTTCCCGAACACGGCCGTCGTTAAACCATTGCTCAACGTCAAGCTCTGTAAAAAAAATGGCATCAAAGAAAGCCTCAGATCAGCAACAACGATCACTACCAAACTGCTGTCAGAACGCAGGAATCTGGAGGAATCTAGATGAATCTGGAGGTATTGAATTCCGGCTGGTTTTCTTACCAGCCGAACGGCGCCAATATTCAACCGACAGAGCCACAGAGGAAATTTTACTAAAAATTTCCCCGGACGGTTTTAAAAATGCTTTATTTTTCTCGCTCGATCGGCATCGCCATGTGCAACAAACGACAGGGATTTTAATAACAAGGCAAAATTAAGACTGCAAGTTGGTGCCTGAAGACTCGAGATGCGATGGTTGCGTTGTTTCAGTTAGCTGGCTGGATGTTGAAAGTTTCAGCAGAACAGATCGATGAATGCAGTTAGGTGTGGGACGATGAGATCGATCGATTGATTAGAAACGGCCCAGCTAGGGAAGACTAATGCACAGCGCAACAGTTTTCCCAGCTACCAAATTGTCGATTGTTCTTGCGGACAGAGATAATGACGTAATCTAGGACCATGAGCACATTTAGGCTTGTTGTACTTAACCATTGCCAGGCATTGACACACGATTCTGAGCTGTTCTTGGTTTGAAATCTCAGCAGAGGCGGCAACAAAGTCGTACCACACAATGGCCTACTAGCTGCTGGGTCCAGCGCAGTGTCTGTGTCAACCTAGTTTCTTAAGCATTATCAAGGTAGGAAGAAGAAAAAGAAAAGAGAAAAGTCTTCAACCACAGAGAATGTCATGTCCAACTGGGTGTAGCCTGGCCTGCTTGGCGCCTAGTGTATGTGCAGCTATTTTGTGGGACGGGTTTGCACAGTCGTGGTGGTCTGGATGCGATCTTGGCCTTTACCAAGTCCAGCTGGGTGCTCTGTGCTTGTTTAATTAGAGTCTGTGTCGGAACGGCCGTGAACTGGATCCAGGTATGGGCGCTTAAAGTTTCTGCTCAGTTTGTGGCCGCTGATCGCTGAAGTAGCTGCCAATAATTTGCACAGCTGGGGAGTATCTGTTCTCTAGCTCGCTCCCTTTCTTATTGGAAGACTGATGCTAATAGTTCCTCCTGGTATGGATGCGAATGCATGATGTTCCAGGACATGGCTTGTGTTTGGCTAAAAGAAAAGTAAAGTGTGTGCGTGCAATGCATAGTTGTGTTTTTGAATTTGGAGTGCTAAGAAAAATTCTGCGTGGAACAAGACTGCATGCAAAAGGTCCAAACTTGAAACGCAAACGGAAAATTTTGCAAAGACTCCGTTGCTTACCGAGTTGCTGCTGGTCTCCCACGAAGACCACGAGGTGTTGGCTGACGCCAGCACGAACGTCACGATGCCCGGGGCGGCGCCGGCTCCGGCCTTCCCCGTTGGCTCGGCGACGGCGAGGTAGAGGAACAGGAAGAACCCTCCAAGATGGCTGCAAGCAAGCAAGCGCACGGCAATGCACGCGGGCGAGTCGAGTCAGCCTAACGCGGTCGTCACAACACACCGACGAAAGAACGGAGAAGCAGAGGGAGAGGGAGGAGACGAGAGGTGGTGGCTCGGCACGCGCGTGCGTGTACCTCCAGACGTTGAGCGTCTCGTTGTGCCAGGCGAAGGCGCTGCGGAGCGCGTCGCGGACGGACCACTCGCAGCGGTAGTGGGCGTGGATGAACTCGTTGTCCCGCAGGTAGTCCGGCAGCTCCTCGAACCGCACCAGCCGCGGCAGCTGCTGCTGCTGCCCCTCCTCCTCCGCCGGCTGCCGCTGCTCCTCTCGCGACGCCGGCACGACGTCCGCGGCCGCCGCGAGGGCGCAGCAGCACCCCCCGCCGCCGCCGCCGCCGCGCCGCTTCCCGCGCGCGCTCACCACCGCCATCGTCGTCGTCGTCACCGTCGTGGTGGTGGCCATGTCTGATGTCTCCACCCGACTCGTGACTCTGGCGGCGTGCGTGTTCGTGGGAAACCCCGCACGGAAGCCGAGCCGGACTGGATGGAAAGTCGTTGTCTTTGGGCTTGTGTCCGAGCTGCTCACGCCCAGCTTATGTACACACCCGGAACGGACACAGGTGCTGTAGTCTTGTGGCTTTTGTTAGCCCCTTTACAACTCGGATCCTGCTGAGTCACTACGGTTTTGGATGGGCAGGGGATTCGGATTCGCGAGATACTCCTGCCTAATGCCCTGATCGGAACCTGAGTGAGTGGCGTGCACCCTTGGCGCGCGGCGCGTCACGTTTATATCATCGGTCACGCACGCGCTCCTCGCCTTGATGGACGTCGCGGCGAGGCGAGGACGGTTGGGGAGGTTGGCCGATCCAGCTGGCGCGACGGGCGTGGGGGCCGGCATGTGTCAACTGGAGGCGGCTTCGTCAATTCATTTGCCTCTGGGTCCTTCCGTCGCGGGAGATTTGCTCGTTCTAGATGGGATTGGGTTGGGCCTTTGACCTTGGACTACTGACGCTGCTGCTGACACGAGACATGCCAGACACGGCTGCGATCGGTCGTCGCCTCGTCGGAAAGTTCCAGCCGAGTTCGGGGAGTACCCGTTGCGTACTTGCGTTCCGACGGCTGGCTTGTTTCTGGAGCAGGGTTGTTGGGAAGCAAATTAAAACGACCTCGTTTCGCGTTGAACCGGATGAAATGTGTGTGTCTCGCATGCATTGCCAAAGATTAATTCATCGGTCGTGGACTCCGATCGGGTTGGACAACGGCCCATCCTACCGTACAACGCCCTCTCGCTCCCCTGCGCGTGTTTGATCCAACGGAAGACGCCGAGAGACTGCGGTCGGGAACACGACGACGCTTCCGCGCGCGGGACGGTCACCGGCCGTAGCTGTACGGGCGGCTGTACATGTGAAGGAGGCGTGCAGAGAGTCATGGCGTACGTCGCCTGGCTGCCGTGCCGTCCGCCGCCATAACGTGGCTGCAGATGGCCGATGAGCGATTTCAGCACGAGTCTGATGGCCCCAGTGGACAGCAAGCCAAGCCCGCTGCCCGTAAACATGGTGCGAACGAACAACTGGATGTATCACAGGTTTTTGTGTTCCTCCAATGGAGATATTGATGTTCTGAAGATAAGGTTTTGTGTTTTTAGAGGCTGGAGCCCCCCCAGCCCCCCCTTTGGATCCGCCGCTGCGTGCAACGCAACGCAGTGGCATGCCGAGCACGTGTCCAAGGCTGCGTAACAAATTGGCAAGCTAGCACGACAAGTGTGTGCTCCTCCGTGTGTTATGTTCTATCAGGTTTTTGTGTTTTTTAGAGGAAACGGGTCACAGGTCAGGAGGAACGAAACTGACCCGTCGTCTCAGCTTAGCGGGCACAGGCCGGCCCAGGACGATGAGCCGCCTTGCGTGGCGCCAGGCCCAGGCAACCAGCCGATCCCATAAAAAAAATTCAAACGCATCTTTTTTTTGCTAAACAAAATCAAATGCATATTGTTTTTTTTTTGTAAGATTGACTCGTAAGTAGTAACAAATCGTACATTTCTTGATGAAAGTTATCGCTGTAGAGAAATTTTATAGTGCCTTTGGCAATCACTGGACAATGGACATGGGTCAACTGGACGTTGTTGTCTGCTGTCCGGCACAATCTTTACACTGAATCTTCTAACTCACTAGTTTCCTATTAGTTTCCTTTGCGTAGCTGATTAAACTTTCCTTTTCTTCTATGAATATCTCTCGTTTAGTTGTATGTCATCTTCTTCATCTCTCTTTTGTTACACGAATGACCATAAGTATCTCGGATTAGTTCATCATCTCAGTTAGTTTCCTTGCATGGCTGATGAACTCCATGAGCTACTAGCCTTAGGCCTTAGCAACCATTGAGCGCACAAGAAGAGTACCGGTGAATGCAAACCCAACTGATGGCAGTGTGAGGTTGAAAGATAACCACTAACTTCATCAGCTAGCACATGCATCGGAAGCTTCATGTGGAGGCCTGGCAAAAAAAAAAAGGACTAGCCATCGCACGAGTCGTCCCCTCCCTGCCCTAGCGAGAGCCACCGCCGCTGCCGCTTCCACTACCATTGGCCCCCTCTGGTATCTCGCTAGAGGCCGGAGGAGTGGGGATCCATCGCTTTAATAAGTTTTCCAGTAGATCGAGTCATTTAGAGTTAGGGTCTCTCTATGCTAAGTTTTTTGGTATTGAGGATTTATCTCCTCCTCACCATTCCCGACGATGGTGAAAAGGTAGAGTGGATTCATTTTCTCCTTAGCGGCTCTGTTGAAGATGAGGGCGACAACTACATCGTCAGCAACTTCCTCGACATGATGACATGGAGACTTAATTTTCCGAACGGTGACATCAAGGCGGAGATGATATCGTCGCCATAGAATAATTTTATTCGGTCTCTTCTCCATTTTGTCGTGGTTAGATGTGACCACGATGAAGGACTAGGAAGAATAAGTTTCAAATCAGTCTTTCCTATTCTTCGGTGGCAGAAAGAAGAAGGAAGACACAAGAAAGAAGAAGTTTCTTAACTCCGCTTGCAGGAATGTTGGACATCTGTTCTCGGTCCTTTTGTCGAGTGTTTTCCTGTGCGGTCATCCATACAAATCGTCATACAGTTTTGGATTTGAGATTTGGAGCTATACCAAGTGTGGATACAATGTAGATGAAGATCAGTTTCTGAATATTTGTAGTGTATTTCAGAGTGCTTGTAGCGTGATGATGCACTCAGCTATAATTTAATATAATTCTTCTTTCATCTAAAAAAATCTCTCTTTCGTTACAAGAGCGACCATAAATATCTCAGATTAGTTCATCATCTCAGTTAGTTTCCTTGCATGGCTGACTAACTCCATTCGCTACTAGCCTTAGGCCTTAGCAACCATTGAGCGCGCAGGAAGAGTACTGGTGAATCCAAACCCAACTAATGGCAGTGTGAGGCTAGAAGATAACCACTAACTTGATCAGGTAGCACTTGCTTCGGCGAGAGCAGGGTGCAATAAGCTTCATGTGGAGGCATGAAAAAACACCATTGGACATCCATATGCATCGCATCAGGAGCTTCTGCCGAACTCATGACCACTCGTAGTTCTGTTCAGGTCTGTTCAGGTTTAGGTCCTGTGCTATTGCAGGCCTAGTAAGAAGGGCCCTTGTCATGGAAGATATGATATCGGACAGAAGGGTAGCTAGGCCGAGGCATAACAAACTATATCACCTCCGATAAAATCACATGAAGCTATATGATGATGATGATGAGACAGTGCAACTGATGATCTCTGTATTGAACAAGGATATGTCCACCAGCCATCAAGGACGAAGAAAATATGTCCCCAGAAGATCAATGGACGGATTTCACAACTTTCACCAGCTTCTAAAGGGGGTGGATTTAGCGGTGGGGCGGAAGGGGGCTTGTGTCCCCCTATCGCCGTAGGGCCTTTGGAGCCCTCCATGAAATTTTCACCATAGGTCCTGTCTAGGAGGGGCTGACCTCTGTCGCGAGGTTGACGAAGCTCTGTTCGTGATTTTCACAACACAAGTAAAGCTAAAGTAGTGTATCCACCCATCGATGTCACAGTTGCTCTAGGCAAAGTACTAAAGTTGTTTTGGGAAAAACAAAATTTACAGAACAATAAAATCTAGTCCAACAGCTTCATCTAATCTTGTCATCAAGTGGATTATATTGCAGCATTCGATGGAGTAAAATACAGAAATAATTGGAGGAAAGGCACTGATCACAAAATGAACTAGGCAAAAAAAGTTTTCAGTGGTGATTTTCTAACCAGATTATGTCTATGAAGTTAATCTTCTAAACCAGTAAGTTATAAGGAAAGGAAAAAAGAATAGGGGCAACATTCCATGCCTTACTAGACTGAATTTGGAGTTTCCAAAGTGTGTGTCAGCTCAAGACAGACCACCGAATCATTAATAGGGTCATCGCAGAAGATATCCTTAGGCTGCATTACCAATGGCTTTGAACCAACTGAAATCTAGTGTCTATGATAACCTAGATTTATCACCGACATTTCCAAAATCCTCTATGATGAAGTTATCACAAATGGTTTCTAGCTAGACTCTCAATGATAAGGTAAATAGATTGATTAAAATATGAAAGTGTAGACAATGAAATGTTCACCTCCGAATGGCATTATTTTCAAAAAAAAAAGTAGCATGGTCCTTGGCAAAATAAGACTTGTGTTAACCATGGAGAAAAAAACAATAAATTTCACCACAATAGCTAAGCTATTTATCAGATACCTAGAACTTGTGGTAACATTCTCTATCTCATATAGTGAAGAAAATATTTCCCCAGAAGATCAATGGACGTTAGTCCTTGGACTAACTCAGATTTCACAACTTTCACCAGCTTGTAAAGGGGCGGATTTAGCGGTGAAGCGGGAGGGGGGCTCATCGCCGCAGAGCTTTTGGAGCCCCCCATGAAATTTTCAGCATAGGTCACTGTCTAGGAGGGGCTGAGCTCCGTTGCAAGGTTGAAGAAGCTCTATTCACGTTTTGACAACATATAAATTTCACATAGTAGATCTGTGTAAGAAGCAAAATAGCACAGCAGGAGGAAGGAGATAGATGGGGATTGCAGAGATCAGGTGTAGCGGTGACAATCTTAAAATTACCTCAAATGATACTACAATCACAAAGCTACTCGTATATGCGACAGAGATTATGTTTTATGCCTGCAAGGAGGCAATAAAATGATTATCTACCTGGGATAACATTTGCCATTTTTTAGTTATAGAGATTATACGGATCCATTCAGTTAAGGACAAAGGAGATGGAGGCAACCAAATGAGTGGAGCGAATCTTGATATTTCGCCCGTTGTATTTGAGAACAGAGAAGCTCAAATGTAACATACTAACGCGGATTCATTAGGGCAACTTTAATGTATAAACCTGAGAACAGCGGTGGATTCAACGGTGGGGCGGGGAGGGGGGGCTCGAGCCCCCCTACCG